TTTGCAGTATTTTCTTTTTTTTTTTTTTTAAAGAGAGGTTCTCCCACAAAATAGGCCATTATATTTGAATTGCCTAAGAGAGTAAAACTGTGAAGCCTCTGTGATGTTTCCATTTACATTTCCCTATTGTCAGCAAACATCTGAAAGGAATTGCCTTGGGAACTGGGAACTGCACAGTGTCAGTAAAAGGTGCTTTAGGAACCAATCCTGGGGATTTCATATAGTTTAGGGTAGGGTGGAGGGTGCAGGAGGAGTTGGTCCTGGTAATCAGTGTAATAAGAAATAAGCTTGTATGTTTTACCCCAGAAAACCAAATTGCATATATGACAGAAATGAAGTAGATGCAAGGCATGGTACCTTTCTCACTTTAGCATACAAAGGTATCTACTGAGCACAATGGTAAAAGTTAGGAATGATGCTTACCCAAAAGATAAGCAAGCAGTCGATTTCTGTAATAGGATGGACTTCCCAGTCTCTTTCACTAATTTTTTATGTATTGAATAATAACTATATTCACCCTCACCAACATGCTGTGCTGGTTTACATCTCAACAAAAAGCACAAACTCGCAGCTGTTTATGAAGACAAGCCAATAAATCTAGAGGAATATATTTATACAACTCATCCTGAGATTATATAGTTAAATGCCATTTTTTCAAGTAGGCAGAGCTCCTTCTTTGCAAAGGAACCAAATTCCTCTCTGTGCCACCCAGATCTGTTGATTTCCCATTAATGTCAGCTCTTGTCAGCTCTACTGAGTGCTACAAGTTGCATTGCAGAATGTTTTATATACATTAAAGGAGTAAGTAGTCTGCCATTTCCATGTCCTTCTTTTGGCTGGCATTAAGTAAGGCATGTAGAAGACAGAAAGCGAGGAGCAGTTCTGATGGCTCTTTCAGAAATCCTGCCATTTGCCACTGGCAAATCCAGGTACAGTTCTCATAAAGATCTCTTCCAATTCTGTAGCAACACTTTCTTCCTATGGAGAAAGTATCATATATATGTTTGAAAGCTTGTTGCAGCACTGATTGCTTTTTCCATAGCAAAGAGCTAACTTTATTCAACTGATTAGACAGACTGAGCTTTGAATTATTGCTTCTTTGCCTAAATCTCCCTGATACATGCAATGATTTATATGAAGGAAGAGCAAGCAAGAGGGTGCCATGCAAAACAAGAGATCATCATGTATCTAAGTTAAAATCTGTGATAAAAATCTGAGGAGGGTTAGGTGATATACATTTTCTGGAGCTCCCACTGGCCTTTTGCATTTATTTAGACTGTGGGTTGGCTTTTGGATGATATCCATGTAGAAAGCAGGAGGTCTTAGACTTTTGTATCTTCTAGTAGAAGGGGACCAACTGAGAGCCAGACTTAATAGTTGTGCTTGCTACATTAAGGGCTATAGGAAATTTGGGGATCACCATATCAGGAACACATGCTAATAAAATGTGTGCCACATAGTAAAAACTCACCTGGGTGAAATGCTGCTCCTTCTGATATCAATGGAAATTTCCTTTTGACCAGGGGTTGCTATGGCAGCAAGCACTGGAAATGAGAACAAGGACATTTTGATATGTCTACACTGTGGATTGCAAATTATGATATCCGAGTTAGTTTTAAACAGTCTTGCAAGGAGTGGTCTAGTTAAGGCAGCCTGGAACACCACGTGGCCTAATTTACTATACTAAGCAGTTTCCTTTCCTCTGTGCTGAATGTCTGTCTGTGTCTGGGATAGAGCAGAGGTCGAGAGGCATTTGAGGGGATGCTTATTTAAGGGGAATGGGATGAGGAACAGGCTGCGATAAGGAGTAGTGTAGGGAGGGAGAAACAGTATGAGCAAAAGTAAGCTAGAAAACAGGAGATACAGCAGTCCATGGAGTCAAGAGAATGGAAGGAATGAAAGCAAAATCAACAACAGAAGATGTACGGGTTTGGGGACCAGTGACCAAAGGGTCTCTTCCCATGGCAGTGCACTTTGCTCTGCTCCTTGGAAGTCAGCCTAGGGCTCCTGACTCTCAGCAGGAAGTAAGCAGTGTCAGGAAGACACTGTCAAATCACTGAATGAAGTTTCCTTACAGTCTTCCAGTGGATTGATCAGCTTGTAAGCACCGTTTTACAAGCTGCTGATGACGCTGCCGGCTGAAGTGGCGAAGTTCTGTATTACAGCTCCACAGGTGCTAACCCACCTCAGCATCAGCAGCAACATGGAAGAGCTTTCGATTTTTAAGTTGACTTTTAAAGAAAACCCTGAAAAATTATACTGAAAACGCATTACCATAATGTTAATATTACTAAGTCAAACACTTAAAAGTTAGGAAATGCCACAGTTAATGTTGTCTGTGCCACCTTAGGGAGGGCCCCTTGTACCATTACCATAGCCTGTAATTACATAACTGCACACTGTTTCTTCCACTGAACCCCTGCATAAGGTGGTCAAGTCCTCTGCATATTTCATTAGAAATGTAGCCCAGAGCTGTTCTGCTGCATTATTACTTTGGTACTGACCTAGGGAAGAGAAAACTACTTGTCTATGTCACTGTGCTCTACAAAATCTCCTCTTCTGGAAAGGGGTTGAGGCCTTTAATGGCACTTTGTTTCTCTGAAATCTCCTTTTCTGTTCCTTGGGAGCATCTTACCTTCCATGGTATTTCAAGTGTGAGCAACTCATATTGGGAGGCTGGGAAGAAAACTCATAAATAACATTTAATGGCCCTTATTAAGTCCAACATCCCATTTGCTTCTGCAGTGCATCCCTCTCCTATTGACCCTGGTTAGGTCTTCCTATAATCTGTACTGAGTCAACAAGCTCCAGTGGGCTGGTAGGCAGGTGGGACACAGATACACAGCATGTGACATTTTCAGTGGTGGAAAAGGGCAGGAACCCACCTTTTCCCATAGCAGAGGGTGATAGAAGGAATGAATAATAATGACACCTCCCATCAACTTCCCATTAATGGCAAAACACATAAGAACTGGTGCCAGTTTTGCCTGGACATGTATGTAGAAAAGACAGTGAAATTAATATAGAGAGGTTGCTAGAGCCTCTGTCTCTTTTGTTTCTTCCTTCCTTAAGCATTTGTACCCAAAATGCAGTGATGGGGGAATCACAGCACTTCCTCTCAAAGGCCAACCGTCAGCCACGTTGTGAGTCCCTTCTCTACTTTCTTCCCATGCTTTTGAGCAGTGCTTGCAGGTTAGCCATGCTCATTTTAAAGCTTATATACAGCAGATGTTCACAGAGCTGATCAGGAATTATGGACTTGCTGCTGTAGCTGCAGCCCTGTATGAAATACAGAGAATGTATATAAACCACAGAGAATATAGCTGCCTTGCACAATAAATTCACACACCTTCCTTGCTGCTATTCGCTCAGGAGGGGACATCAGAGCCCCTGATGAGGGGGCATTCAGTGTCCTGAAATCGAAAGTAGGTCCCTTGCATGTGACAAGGGAAAGTTCTGGTGGGGCAGGGGGGTGATGTCTGAGGGCTAAACATGCTGACAGCTTGCTGTCAGGGCAGCATGTTACTTGCTGCCTTCCCTCTCAGAAGGAGAGGCCGCCTGCCCCACACCTTTGTAGAAGCAGACTTTAAAGAAGTGTCATAAATCTCTGCCTGGCCTGCCACACAGCACTGCCGCTGCCCTGGATATCACCAGGATTCATCCATTTGAACTGTACTTCATTTTGCAGCCCAGGGTAGAAGGAATAGATTGCTTTGACACCTATTTTGGGGTATAATTTCTCTACCTCCCCAGTGCCTGGGACTTGTCTTATCCCAGTACCCAGCACTGCCTTTTTACAGCATCTCCGTCTGTATCCTGCAGGTACTCGATTTGTCTGTGTTTGTGCAGACATGCATGGCAAGGATGTGCTCTCAGAGCTTGTGTAGTTCCAGAATCATAACATTCCAGTGATCCATCAGGAAAATTCAACTGAAGGGCAGCATGGTCTTGCTTTAAGCGAGCTGAAGTAGTAGGCACTCCTTTCCCCACCCCACAGGACAGGTAGTCTTAGAAGACTGTAGGAAGGTGTGGGTGTTTATTTTGGTGAGAGCTGCAGTGATGTGTAAAAAGGAGAGGGAAGGGATCTCCCAGCTTTTTGGAGATGGCCTCTGTATAATGCCATTTAAATCTGTACTTTTTGTTTGGTGGTAAGTTTTAATAGTTATCCTTTGAGGATTTTCCCAGCGAGCTTATCTGAATACACCAACAGTCTTTTTTGTAATATTCGCATTTCCCCTTTGGTTCAGCCGAGCCCACTGACAGATCATTCAAATTCAATTGTTTTATGTCTAAGCCGAACAGCTAATTAAAGTAGGGATGATTAACCTGACTGGCAGTGTCGCTCTCTCTCCCTCGCTCTCTCACTCCCTCCCTCCCTCCCTCCCTCCTGTTCCAATCAGTCTTTTTCTCACACTCTCCCTCTCTCTCTCTCTCTCTCTCTCTCTCTCTCTGTCTTTTGCTCTACTGTGTGTGTGTGTGTGTTTTTTTTTTCCTCTCTCCTAAACGTGGTCTGCTTGCTGATGGCAGAATGGCACTCGGAGATTTGTGCATTGTGTCTGGTTTCCTACGGGCAGGCTGACCCAGTGCCTCTAGGGACTTATCAATAGACCACTCAGAAGAGACAGAGACAGGAGAAAGGAGGAGGGGTGGGGGGGGGGAGAGAAAGAGAGAGGGAGAAAGAGAGAGAGAGAGAGAGAGAGAGAGAATCAATATCAAGAATAGAAGGAGCTCCGAAGCCATTTTTTTTTTTTTTTAAAGAAGTATCAGGACTTGGGAAGAGGGTGACAAAAGAAGGTTTTTCAAAGAGGCAGTGGAGGAGGTTCTAATAAATTTGGAAGGAAACAGTTCCCTGTCTTGGGAAAAAAGGAGAACTCCTGGCTGATTAGCATTCACACCAGGTATGAGATGTTCCCTACCCCTTATCACTGTCGCAACCGAGATGGAAAAAAGCGCTTTTCCCCCCTTTTTTCTTTTTTTTTTTTTTTTTCTTTCCCCTCACCCCCCCGTCTGCTCTTTAAGGAGATGGAGCGAGCGTTTATTTTGGTACGTTGGTTGGTGGTGGCAGGGGGAGCGCGAGCCGTGGGCATTTGTGTGCTGGGAACAGGGAGAATGGAAGCAGGGCAGCGGGGAGGGGGCGGGTGGGAGAAGAGCCGGGAGTGTGTTACTGTGTCTCCTCTTTGTGCACCCCTGGGGGGGTTACCCAAGTTCATTTCCAGCAGGTGGATTTAGAGAGGGAGTTACTTAACGCTTGACCGCCAGTTTTGAAAAAAAGGAAAAAAGAAAAAAAAAAAAAAAGGACCTGCTTCCTATGTCTATTAAAGGAAGCTCCAATTTTTTCCCTCTCTCTCTCCTCTCTCTCTCTCTTTCCTCTCTTCCTAACCAGACAGCGGGAGGGTTTCTGGCTCCTCGCCAGCCCAAAAGCCTCTAAGTGTTTTGCACTTGTTTCAGGGAGCCCGGGGATTTTTTTCAGCATTTTCACTAGAGAACAAAGAGTTCTTTACAAAGGAAAGGGGGAGAGCGAGCTTAACGCCTGAGATATGTTTTTCTATTTTTATTAGGGATTTTTTTTCCCCTACTAAAAAGAAAGAGAGAAGCAAAGCACAGAATGTGTGGCAGCAACAAAATAGATTGAAAGGAAATGCAGTTCTCTTACCTCCAAATTATAATTTGGAATAAATAAGAACAGGAATGGAAGGGGGACAAGACCAAGTGAGTTTGGTATGTTGTTCTTTTCTCCCTTTTTTTAAACTCTCTCTTTAAATTCCAACTGCTGTTTTGCCAACTTACCTAGCATCTTTTTTTTTCCATAAAAGTTATATTGCAAACAGTTTCTGTACAGTTTCTGTTTACTTAAAAAATCAAACAACAAATTCTTACTGAGGAAAAAAAAGGAGGGAAATGGGGTGGTTATGGTAGAAAAGAAACGAATGAGTGGGAACAGAAATCTTTCACTTTCTGTCACTTAGAAAAAAAGTTGGTAATGGCTTGTTGAAGCTAGGATCCTAAAATACAGATGGGGCACTAACGTCTGTGTCCACGGACCCAGCTTTTCCCTGACCATCTGTCTAAAAGTCACCTCTCACTGGCAGCTCAAATGATTAGTCGGAGCTCAGGGATTTTTTTGTTTATTTGTTTGTTTGCTTGTTCCTCCTGTTTGGTGGGACCCTCTCTCAAATGGCTCCATTTCACCTTCTGAGTTTAGTTCTTTAGTCGAGCCCCAGATTGAGGGTTTCTGGATAGACCTCTCTGCACTGTAGATTTTTTGTTCTTCTGAATGTATTTCTTCTAGATACACTCTTTGTCTATTTGTACGTGAAAAAGGCACATGCAATAGAGAAGGGAATAGCGCATCACATTTAGGGAGGTGTTTAGATTTGAATTTTATTGCTATATAGTATATAGCATACAAGACATCTTCTTTACAGTTTCTCCTGAACAGTGGTTAGGATGTTTGAGAATATATACTGTTGCAAATTCAGTAGCTTGAGGAAGTGCTTTCTTTACCCAAATTCTGCTTTCATTCCTTTATTGATTTGTATTTTCCTGCCTTTGACAATTTGCCAGTCTAAGAACAGCATCATATAGCAGAGGTACAGAAAACAAGAGAGGAAACTCTTGGTTTTGATATTATATCCCCCCTAAAAACCATAAGCAATTTATACACAGATCTGTATCAAATTATTATAGAGTTACGACGATTGTTTCTGGATGCAGAGCACTGTTACTGCAATACCTTGATTTTTATTTTCCTGCTGCAGGCTTCCCTCAGGAGAGGTTGTCTGTTACAGCTACATAGGTATTGCATATGTATTCGTGCCACTGTTTTTAAGCAACACCTGTGCATTGTGTAAGGGTACACAGAGAATCAGTCCATTTACATCTTATATGATGAAGAGGGGAAAAATCCATTCTTGGGCTCTGCTTGTGCTGCTTTAGAAATCCCACTAGCCTACAGTGGCAAAACGTCCTGCAGGATACAGCCCATCCTTTGCAGAAGTGAAGGAAAACTGTCCACGACAAGTGAAACCACCAGTTAAAACACAGTTTTGTTTTCATGCCAGTATCCAATCTGGGGGCTTGTAACCCTCCAGCTTTGTTAGCTGGGACTCTTCCCTCTCCAAAGCTGTGGTGGGCACAGCTTTCCCAGCAGAAGTTGGGGGGTTATCGTGGCCTGAAGTGCCCTGCTCCAAGACTAAGTTCCTTCACTGCAGGTCACCCAGATACTCTGCCTTTGCACAGGTAACAGCAATAGTGGTGCCCAGTCGAAAGTACTTTTCGGGCTTCCCAGTTTAATGTAAAATGCTTGGCCAAGAGGGATGGACCACCAAAAAGAGTTAGTTGTTCTCTTGGCAAACATAACAAATAGAACAACTTTTGGCAAATTACAAATGCCTGTCTTTTACCTAAAATTCTTGCTTTCCTCATTCCTGCAGAGAGTTTTCCCAGTTCCTGATGTTTTTCATGGTCTGAATGTTTTCTGTGACATTTCTCCCTTGCTCTCTCTGAAAAGGGAGGAAAAAAATCACATGAAAAGTAAGCAAAAGAGCACAGAAAGGGGACTTGATCTTTGAAGTTTTCCACAGGATAAGCAGTCTAATTTTTTTTCTGCCTGAATCTTTTTTTATTCTCCCCCACTCCCCCTTGATTTTTTTTTTTAAATCTAACATGCTTTTGTGAGTATTTCATATCTGCAACCTTGGAGGTGGTGACAGAAGAGAGAGGACAGAACAGAGCTGAAACCTAGATTTAGCCCCCTCAGTCTCAACTAGAAGGCATCTTCCAGTGGCTGTCACTGCATCCAGAAGTAGGAAGAAAGACGGTAGCTGTCTTTCGGGGACTCCGTGGAGCTGACCTGAGAGTAGCACATTCACAGTACAGGAGAAAAGAGAAAGAGGGGGAAAAAAAATTAAAAAAAGGGGAAAGAAAAGCTCTTTGAGCAGTAACACACTGGCTCTTTCTTCCTGCAGGCAATCCGCTCCAGCTCCTGGCGACGTGTCCTGCACTATCAGATATCATATGACTCTTTATTTGGCCTCCCGTTAGCAGTATGGGCCTGTTAGGAGGCTGTTTGTTTTCTTTTCCTTTCATTTCCTTCTCCTCAGTCCCCCCTATTTTATATTTGCCTGTGTGAGCATATCCCCTTTATAATCTCTCTTTTTGTGCTGAAGCTTTATAGAAAAGAAAAAAAAAAAAAACTTAATCATTTCCCAGGACTGTTTTTAATCCTCTGCCAAAATTGAAGTTCATTGTCAAGTTGTAAAAATAAATAACACCTTTGGGTTTTATTTCTCTCTTTTACTTCTTTCTTTGCCCTGGCACTTCTCAGTGTGTCCGTATATACTCAAGCATGTCTTTCTGTCTCTCCTGCCTGAGTGGGTGAAGTTGGGATACACCTGTATCAGTCTAAGCAGAAGTGCAGAGCTGCCTGCAGCTGCTCCTGCTGCTTCTTGCCATTTGTTTCACTTTCATAAACTTTCCTCTGTTTATTTATTTATTTCATTTGGGCACCTTCACACCAAGTTTGAAAAACTGTCAGGCAGCAATTCCTGTGCTGGGCTTTTCTGCATTTAGGTGAGCAAACGGGGGAAGTTAAGGCTGTAAGAAAATGAAACATTGTGCTGAAGGAAGAGAGGATGAAGTGCGAGGTAGAAATTAGACGCTCTTTGTGCACGCCACCCATAAAAGTTTCCTGAACCAGAATGCTGGTGCCTACTAATAGGATGAGGGGAGCCAGACAGCAGCTAACAATCGGAGGTGTGTAGCCAAGTAGCCTTATGGCAGCATTTCTGATATCCATTTCTGATACCGAATCACATTTTAGTTAAGGGAGATGAGATTTTTTTTTTTCCCTCTTTGTGCTGTCTGTAGCACTACATTATTTAGATAAACACTGTTGCAAAACTTTTTTGCCTGAAAATGCTAAGTCACGTCAACAGAAACAGTGAATTGTTACCAAACGTATTAAATTGTTGCGAGGAAAAAGTCCGTCTTTCCAAAAGAGAGGTAATGTTTTGTTTTGATACTTTGCTATGGAATATTTTAATTTCTCTTTGTAAAGTAAGGATTTATTTTGAGAATTGTTAAGAATTTATTTGTAAAGGAAAAAGATGGGAGGTGGAATCTGTAAAACATTCATAAATGATAGATTTTGAAAGAGGGGAGATTTAGTTTTTTTAGGAAGAATTTAAAATGTTCGGGTTTTTGTTCATTTTTTGTTCAGTTTTATGCAACCTGAATCATAATATACTTTGTCAAGCAAACCAGAAAATGAGCTTTTTACACAACTTTGCTCCCTCTGTAATTACTGCTGTATTTTTATGGAACTTGGTGTTTTATTCATCCAAATTTGGTAAGATTAGCAAAGCCGAAATCCTGTTTGCACTGTGGAGACACAAAGGAGTTACTGATACTTTCTGTCAAAAGTAGATGCTTTGGCCAGTCAGTCCTTCCACCAACTTGTGCTGTTGAGCAGCTGGCTGCGTGCGGGCCGACCGCCACGCTCCAGGGAAAGTATGGGCATATTTTGTACATGCAATTTATATACATTTCGTGCTGATATTCATTAGCACAGCTGAAGAGCTCTGAATTTTAGCATTTCTTCTTGGTGTATACTTAGGCCAGTGTACAAGAGCAATCTTGTAAGTGAGGCAAATACAGACCAGAGGTTTTTCTGTTAATAATCCAGAAACAACTGCATTTCAGCCTTACTGTAGGTGTGTTGAACCGAATTGAGGTCTCCCTGCTAGTTGATGGTATTTCTTATTTCTCATCTAACTTCCCACTGAAGTCAGTGCAGGTTTTCTTGAGGAAATGTTGATGAAAAACAGAGCTAGAGCATCAGGATTTAGGGTGTTCCCCTTGAATCAGTGTTGGAAACCAGACACCCCAGAATGTGCACAGCCTAGCATCCCTCTGGAGCCTGCAGGGCATGCTTGCTTTAGTGGAGTTGCTAGAGCTGAGCTGAGCTGACTCCAGCAGTCTGAAACTTTATTTGCATGTGCCTCGAGTTCCTTCAGAAAAGTACCAATATCTCTGCTTCACTGTCAACAGCACACTCTTTCTTTTTGTTTAGTTTTTGCCAGTCATTTCAAGGAGGATTAAGAGGCTCTTTCACCAGAGACAACATTTTGAGGCTTATTTCCTTTTCTCTCTTCCTCTAGCAACTTAAAACCAACTTTAATGTTTCGTGCTTGGGCACATTCATGGTACTGAGAAAGGAATTACAAACTTTGTTGGAAGAAATCTGGTTTTGGAGTAAGTGTTAAGAGTGTTTAAAAATTGCTGTGCATGCACAGTACGTGATGTTCCCTGTTACTCTACACGTGCTCCAATACTCTGAGCAGTCCTAGCTGTGGGTATTTATTTGTGAGCTCATTCTGGGAGTTGCCCATGAATTTAGTTGACAGTCAGTAAACAGCCCCATGATAAGGCTGAAGTGTGAGAGCTACATAAGTGGGAGGTAGAAGACTTCTTTCAAGTTTTTGGCCGTTTCAGTGTATTGTTGCTCAGCATCTTTATTTATAGGAAAAAAAAGTTATCCTCAAACTTGTTGCCTTCATCTCTGCAGAGCAGATTATTCTATTTCAAAGATATTACAAGCTCAAATAATGATAAAATACATACTTAGCTACCTTGTGAAATAAATATAGCTAAAAGGTGCGGAAAAGTGAAAGCCAAATGCTGCAACTAATGCTTGAGTGTGTGACTTGGGCTGGGCA